AGCCATTACAGGGGGGGTCTGTGCAAGGTGGAGGTGGCTCACCCAAAAAAAAGCCACCTCTGTTTTGTATCCCGCTAACGACATCCTCACGTTTGTATCTTAATTAGCCCCCTGCATCGCCCAGGCTTGGAGTAGCGAGGAAGGTTTGATGCTGCTGATTAATAATTCACTGTAAACCAGGTTTGGGAGCAGGGGCTGCAGCTTGGGTACCACTGCCCGGTACCTCCCAACCATGGGTGCCAGCATCCTTCCCAACCATGGGTGCCAGCATCCTTCCCAACCATGGGTGCCAGCATCCTTCCCTATGGGTACCAGCATCTTCCCCGTGGGTGGCTGCCTCTGTGGTGGAGTGCAGAGTTGCACCCACATTTCTGGGGTGATGTGTCTGGGTGCTGCCTTTTTCTCCCCCCCACCCCGTCTCAAGGAGCTTTCCCTGACTTCAGGGTAGGGACTTTTAAATCGAGTAGCTAAAGGCGGGTTGGTTACGTGGAGGACGGGGATGTGGCGCTCGGTTTTCTGCCAAAAGGCAGGAGCACATCGGGGAGGGGGTGTGAAATGCCGGGGCCTCGTTATCCCGGCGCTCCTGCTCGGATTTGGGGGAAGGCCATCCCACTGATGCTTCCCCCCAATTCCCTGGCAGATGCCAGCAGCGGGGCACAGGGCGAGCAGGGGGTCGGCTGCACCAGTCTCAGCCCTGTTGAGCAATACCTCTGTACTTTCTAGGAAATGCTGCTTATTTAGTTATATTTTTGGCCATCGGCGCTGGCTCTCCGAGGAGCCCAGAGCCCGTGAGAATGGAGGGAGGTTGCTTTTCTTGTTTAAAAATAATAACAAGACAATCAAGGCTTGTAAAATCAGAGCTGTCTGCTGCAAAGTTGGCTTTCCAGAGCCTTTTCTCTCCCCTTTGTAAAGCGCTTTTGGGTTGGTTTAAGGCGTTTCGGGTCGCGTTGCTTCCTCGCCTTATTTCACCCTTGCAGCTTGGCGGGCGAGCGATGGCGTTTCAAATAAACTGCGACTTAATACGTTACTTCTCACCTTTCCTTTTTGTTTTATTACCTTTTTTTAATAAGCCGAGCTGCTTCCTTCTGGCATCACCTGAAACAACAGGAGCCCGGTTCCCAGGCAGCCTCTGCTCCGGGATATCTCCCTCCATACACAGGCTCCCCCAGCAAAGGGCTTGCTGTTTGTGTGTTATTTTATTTTCACTCTTTTTTTTTTTTTTTTTTTTTTTTTTTCTTCCTGAAAAAGAGGGTTAAAGAGCATGCTGGGGTGGGGGGGGCTTGGCTCCAGCACTTCCTCCGGGGTTCGGTGATGCCCCTCCGGCAGCGCCGGGGCTTCCTGCCGGCTGGCCCCCCGTTTCCCTCCCTTCCTCCCACCGGGTGCCCCCCGGGTCCCTCACGGATGCATCCATGCCGGCTTGGTGCCGAAAAGCTGCTAGGGCTGCCACGCACCCAGGGGAAGGTTGGATGCGTTAGGGGGATGCTGTGTGTGCTGCTTG